TTCGGACCGTATAACGACAACAAACGTGTCTATCGGGAGATGTTTCTCCGGGTTCTTCGTCGATGACTTTTCCAGTCCTCTGACGCCCTCTTTCCTTCTCCAGAACGGCTCCATTCTGGAGAGGCGACGATCACCTGCGAATCCTTCATATGGAGAGGCTGCATATGGAGAGGCACATGCGACATCGGTATCCGGAGACTCATTCTCACCCACCGAATGCCCACACTAACTCTCCATACACAGTAATAGCACTATCATCGCGGGCCATAACTGTGACTACTCGTCGTGGAGGCACGTGCGATCAGATTCGAGGAGGCACATGCCCGGGGTCTGCAGAACTCCCGAATCCACGGATCCACCCCAACACCACTTCTTTCGCCTCAAGATATGGATCCCTGGAAACGTGAATAAACTACACATCACGAATTCAAAGTGATACAATTATTCCTTGTATGTGGGACGCCGAAGCGTCCCACTCTCTCGCTGTTTCGAATCTCGTTCGAACAACGTCCCCTCAGAATCCACTGCGAATTCATGCCACTGTCAGCTTGATCGAGAACCGGACTGAAGCCCATCCACTCGACTCAAGCGTCCGTCACCGACTGTCTCGAAATCTCCTAGAGCCTTACCACCTAGTCTGAACATCTCAGCGGCCGATGGGTCATCCGTTACCCCACCACCACCGATCAGCTCGACGGCAATCGAGAGGGCGCTAGTCCTTGCACCTAGCTCGGTGGTCTCTAGGCTAAGTCGATAGCGCTTTTAGAATCGCCTGGTTGGAACGCCTGTACGTCGGCCCGACAATCACCAAACACAGCCAGGCGGGTTTCTAAGTATAGCGACAGCATATAGACGGCCAGTCTATAATGTTTAGATGCATGGTTTCACCCAAAACCACAACTCTTGGCATTATTTCATTGGTCTACTCACCTTCGGCGCGGCTATTGCTGCCGTCCGATGTCGCTCTCATCTGCCTCTCAGCCTTTGCAAGCCGGTGGCCGATGTCGCTCTCATCTGCCTCTCAGCCTTTGCAAGCCGGTGGCAGATGTCGCTTCATATCATTTTCCATCCATTTCACGCACACTGGAATTATTCGTTGCGCAAGAGTAATATGATTACTCGTAACGAGAAAATCTCGCTACAATATTCTTGACTAAAACCACGCGCTACAAGACGAGCTTTATACCTTATCGGGTTTCCAAATTCGTCCTTCTTTATAGCGAAAACTCATTTGCAATCTACAATGTTTTTATTTGGTGGCTTTGTCACTAAAGACCATGTTTTATTTATCAAAAGTGAGTCTAATTCATATTTTATGGCTTGTTCCCATTTATCTCTATCATCTCTATATTTTATTTCATTAGAATAATTTAGGACTTTGCAGACTATAGATTCTGTACACATAAGATAATTTATCTCCTCATATGAAACACGACGTTTGTGTTTATTCCTTTCACTTCTCTCAGATTTGGTTCTGCTTATTTCTCAATATCTTTACTATCATGAGAATCAGACTGATTGTGTTTATTTGTTTCAACTACAGATTTACTGAACTTGTCAAATTTTCTATTTTGACTTATGTCACTTTCTGATTCGGATTTATCTGAATTACTTTCTTCAGATTTTTCTGTATGATGATGAAATTCGTCTGATTTCACATCATCAGATTTTTGAGACTCAACTAATTTTTCAAGATCACCATGTTCGTCAGTTTTATTGAAGTTTTCTGTTATAACTCCTTCAAGTCTCACTCTGGCCTTGATATCAAGAAATTAATTTCATCAACTATTACATCTCTTACAACAAACTTTTCAGTTTGCACATTCCATACTCCATAACCGTTCGGTTCATAACCAACTAAAATTCCTTTCCAAGATTTGTCATCGAATTTTGACTTTCTTGTTTTATAATGCACATAAACCCTGCTTCCAAAAACTTTTAAATATTTTGATTGTGACTTTTTACCGTGCCATAATTGATACGGTACTTTATTTTGTTTCAAAGCTATAGTTAGGATTCTATTAATCAAATACGTCGCAATTAATACTGCTTCTCCCCAAAATACTTTGTTTAATTTTGCACCACTTATTACCGTAGGAGCTTTTTCAGTAATTATTCTTACCATTCTCTCTGCAACACCATTTAATAATGGAGTATGTGGAACTATTATGTGATAACTAATACCCTTTTCTACACAATACTCTTTCATTTCATTTGATAGATATTCTCCCCCATTATCGCAGTATAAATTAGCAACTTTCAAGTTAAAATGAGATTTTAATCATGATTAGAATTCAACTTCCTCTCAAGCATTATTTAGAGAATCAATTGTTGGAATTCAATGCTTGTTGATACTCGGATAAAAGTAGGTGCCAAGAATGTTATAGATTTTTTAAAGGAGTTTACTTCACTTCAGTTCATATCATCAACGTAATTGGTTCCTTAGAATGTCGTCACAATGTCAGACAATGTCATAATTCTAACTATTTATTCTAATTGACTTTGTTCGAAATTTCAGTTGTTTTTTTCAACAGTACAACTACTATTTACTCATAGTTACGAGGGAACCTTTTTTACAAATTGGAAAAAAATTGAAAGTTGACTTTTCGAAATAGACTAATGAAATGATTGAAATATCTCGATTGTCGGAGACCATGACCATTTTTAAAAGTAAATGATTCAATCATAATCAACTTTTCCCTCCAAGAATAATTTTTCCTGAGTTGTAACTAATCTTTCTGATCTCAGAATTTAACCAAAAATTAATTACATGCCAAAACAATTATATGTTTGGAAGTTTGAACCATTCCATTATTCATTGCTAAGAAGGGAATGTTGAAAAAACGAAGTATTTGTGGAATTTTATTCGAATGTGTTCACGTTTTGCAATGAAGTCTCGAAACATAGAAAATACATTTGATTTATAAGTAATCAGGTATGTGACGCAATAATGCGTATACTCATCAATAAACATCACAAAATAATTTTTAAAATCAATTGTTGAAGGAGAGATTGGTCCACACACATCTGAATGAACAATAAACAGCGGTCTGTTGATATGCTCCTTTTCTTTGCTCTTTTGAAAAAATAATCTTGCTTGTTTTCCAAAAAACAAGCTTCACAAATTTTATCATTTGGTATGATATTATTGATCAATTGAAGATTGTCAACCATCTGTTTATTGTTCAACTTTACAAATCTTGATTTGCCCATGTGACCTAATCCTGCATGCCATTATTCATAACTATTGTTTACGGCACTGTAAATTCTCTTATTGTTAATTTTATTAGCATTAACTTTAAATTCAATCGAGACTAGATTATTCATGGGCTTACCGCTAATTATTACTCCATCATTTCTAATTATTTCAACCCCATGTGGATTGAAATTTATACACGTCTGAGCTTTTTGCATCCTGCGGACGGACAGCAAATTATGTGGCACCTCCGGGCAGTAAAGAACATCCTCCAAAATTGCCTGAACTCCTATCTTCGTTGTGATGTTTATGACCCCTCTCTTTGTAGCCATGATGAATGTGTCATTTTTCGCCACTGAGATTCAATAGGGGGATTCAACACTTGGAAACTGGAGAATAATCCACCATTGTTAATCAGATGATCAGAAACTTCCTAATCCAGCAGAAAACTGATTTTATCATCATCTCGATAACTTTGATAATCACCAGCCATAAAATCAAAACCTGACGTGTTTGAATATGCAGTTGTATGATCCAACGAATCCTTCACATTTACTGCTTGCGCCGATCTATTCTTTTCTACTGAATTTTGCTGACTTTTCTTGTAAAAGATGCAATCTTTAATTAGATGATTATTTCTCCCATAATGATAGCACTTTCGTGAATTTTTCTTTTTCTATTTGAACTGGTTTTCGCTACTATTCCTTTTGGAATGGCCCTTGGACTTTGACTTCTTGGAGTTATTCTGCTTTGAATTTGTCACGATATTGTCCTGAAAAGCCTGAAGAATTTTAACAGCTGTATGACTACTCTCAGTTTTTTTTTCACTTCATGATTAAGTAACCTGGTTTTTACGAATGCCAGAGTCATATTATCCTCTGATAAAGTTTCTATAGCTGTGATTACACCATCATATGCCACTGGAAGAGTCAATAGCAAATGTGACACTTTGTCAGTTTCTTCTAAACGCAGCCCCGCGGCTGATAATTCAGTTATTAAATCTGTTTAAAATCTGGCCAAAATACAGTCAAATTGGTCATTCATCCCCCTCGGCAATTATCGATAGTTATCGGCAATCATCGGACACGGACGAGGTGGTCGTCCGTGTCGCAATCGTCAGTACACCATCGAACCTCATCTCGGACAGTTACCGTGACAGTTATCGGGACAATTATGGGGACAATTATCGGAACGTTATCGTAACATCATCTATTTGTTTTGTGTCAATACACTCCACTCGGAAAATACATCTATTTATTTGTTGTTGTAAACTAACGTTTCAAGTGGAATCTTTGTGCTAATTAAACGGCAAATCATCCGAATTCACCTCTTTTATTATTTGTGCACCTACCCCGAAATCACCTCTCCTCCCGACCACCCAACTCATCAAATCTCGAGTAGATTTTGAACATTGGTCCTTCGAGCCGGATCGGGAGTGAATTATTGCGGAAAAGTGCAGTGAGTGGGTGCAACGGACGTTGGACGAAAAAACATCAGTTCAACACGTGGGGAACCACGCCGTAGAAGCCTCTCGCTACGGGGTTCACACGTCAACGCGTAAGGACAGCGTAGTGAGAGCATCATCAACGATACTCAGCGCCACGTCAGGTGGTAACTCATCGGCACTCATCATCGCTCATCGGTAACTCAACGACAATCATCGGAACAGCGGTCGGTAACCCATTGACAATCATCATCGTCAGTCGGTAACCCATCGGCCGGTTATCACCGCAACATCGGAAATTCATCGGTAATTATCACAATTTATAGATAATTATCCTCTGAATTAATTCACTAAATCATTATGAGTGAGATCGGAGAGAAAAAGGATGGAACCTGGGCTGAACAGGTGGAGAAGGCCGAAATGAAATACAATGGAAAACCGACTGACAATAAGGATACAGAAACTCCAGGAATTTCGGAAAAAGTCAACCACACCAGAAAGCATGAGCGGAGACATCAGGAACATCATCATATAGTAGTCAATCATCGCGACGAATCCTGTCAATAAATCATCGGGTCCATCATCACGCCACGACATAGCATCACTACTTTAATCATCTCTTGGGTCACTCATCTAGACGAAGAGGTCAACGACCTCTAACAATCAGCTGGATGATCATCGACAATCAGAGGAACACCATCTCGGAGATGATCGACAATTAGGAAAATACCACGTCGGACATTCTCGCCGTATGGATTGTAACGTGACATTTTTCATGGGGGTTAAAATGTCTATTACCTTCGCCCTTCTTCCCCTGAATCTAGTTAAACTCGAAAATGCAGAAATCTATGGGCGCCAGGTCATTTTTAACCGGAATTTCTAAACCGGAGGAATCTACAAAATCAACTCTATTAATTCGAAAAACTCTAAAACGTACAAAAAAAAAGGGGAGAAAACTAGATTTTTGGGGAAAAGTAACGGTCCTTGGTTCGCTCAGTGTGCTAGGTTGTGGAGAGAGTGGTGGATTTCAGGTGGAAACGGGTCAATGGGGCGGTCAAAACTGCAAAACAGCAAAAAAAAGAAGGAAATCGACATTATCCTTACTGGTTTCACTACTGAAATTTAAGAATCACCAATTTTACAAAAAAAAAGACATTTTAATTCTCTCAAAAAAAATATTAAAAAAAGAAAAAATCTACAATTAATAACTAACAATACTGACAATAACAATAATCATAATATTAATTCCGCACTTTGATAGAAAATAGTCTAATCTGACAAAAATATTCGAAGAAATTAATATCGCCGATAGGTATCTCAAATATGCCGAAATAAACATTTGGGGAGAGTAGAAATACACGCTAATCCCTAAATACTCGAGAATTCCGAGAATTGGGGGGAAAGGTATGCGAGCGACAATGAGAGCGAGAGAGAGGAGACCGTCTTCATCCGTCGATTTTTCATACTAGCCAAAACGGCTGAAATTCCGCAAAACTCAACTTGCCATAACTCGAGAATGGCAGAGTCAAAAATTATGAACCGTGAGACAAAATGTCCAGTAGAGTCTACCGAAGACAACAATACCCAAAAAATAATTTTCCCTAAATAATTAGCCGCCCCAGGTTAGTTAATCCCCGAGCGGAATTCTAAATGCTAAAAGGCTCGCGTGAAGCGAGAATAGCCACGTATAAACGTGGATGGGTATCTGAGGGGAGTCGAGAGTCGGGGGGGAATTCCCCCTCGAGAAACACGGCGTACACGCCAGCGAGAATGGGGTGGAAATCCATAAAAACCAAAAATGGAATATCCGGAAATCGGCAGAGCGAATTTTCGGAAACCCTGAGATGAATTACTCAGGGAAGCCTCTCCGAACACATTGATCCACAAACCATAATTTTAATTAACTATCTACGCGAACCAACTCAATTTGAACACGAGTGGAATTTCTTACGCGCGAAAACCCACGTGTAACGGGAATGGACGCGCTCTAGCAATTTAACGTGATTAATTATCCCCTCCGATGGATTCGCACAAAAGATCTTTAACCAACGTAATAAGCCGATGCACAGTGTCATCGGAGCCGGGTTTGAGCCGGAAATAACCCCAAAAAGGGGAGAAATCTCCTCGAATAACCCACCAAAAATCACGAAAACCACCCAATCATGAGTGAAAAGGGGGGGAACCGACACCTCACAATTTGGATTAAGCGTCACAATCATCGTTTTAACTGAATAAAATGCGACGTACGGGGCTGAAAACCCCGTAGTCGAATAACTAAAAGCCAAAATGAATTCGGAAAAATACATAAACCGAACTAAAAACTCACTTTGGGTTTCTTACCCCTCTTGGGGGTGTTCTTCGCCATCGCGTAGATACAATAATCTNAGTAACGGTCCTTGGTTCGCTCAGTGTGCTAGGTTGTGGAGAGAGTGGTGGATTTCAGGTGGAAACGGGTCAATGGGGCGGTCAAAACTGCAAAACAGCAAAAAAAAGAAGGAAATCGACATTATCCTTACTGGTTTCACTACTGAAATTTAAGAATCACCAATTTTACAAAAAAAAAGACATTTTAATTCTCTCAAAAAAAATATTAAAAAAAGAAAAAATCTACAATTAATAACTAACAATACTGACAATAACAATAATCATAATATTAATTCCGCACTTTGATAGAAAATAGTCTAATCTGACAAAAATATTCGAAGAAATTAATATCGCCGATAGGTATCTCAAATATGCCGAAATAAACATTTGGGGAGAGTAGAAATACACGCTAATCCCTAAATACTCGAGAATTCCGAGAATTGGGGGGAAAGGTATGCGAGCGACAATGAGAGCGAGAGAGAGGAGACCGTCTTCATCCGTCGATTTTTCATACTAGCCAAAACGGCTGAAATTCCGCAAAACTCAACTTGCCATAACTCGAGAATGGCAGAGTCAAAAATTATGAACCGTGAGACAAAATGTCCAGTAGAGTCTACCGAAGACAACAATACCCAAAAAATAATTTTCCCTAAATAATTAGCCGCCCCAGGTTAGTTAATCCCCGAGCGGAATTCTAAATGCTAAAAGGCTCGCGTGAAGCGAGAATAGCCACGTATAAACGTGGATGGGTATCTGAGGGGAGTCGAGAGTCGGGGGGGAATTCCCCCTCGAGAAACACGGCGTACACGCCAGCGAGAATGGGGTGGAAATCCATAAAAACCAAAAATGGAATATCCGGAAATCGGCAGAGCGAATTTTCGGAAACCCTGAGATGAATTACTCAGGGAAGCCTCTCCGAACACATTGATCCACAAACCATAATTTTAATTAACTATCTACGCGAACCAACTCAATTTGAACACGAGTGGAATTTCTTACGCGCGAAAACCCACGTGTAACGGGAATGGACGCGCTCTAGCAATTTAACGTGATTAATTATCCCCTCCGATGGATTCGCACAAAAGATCTTTAACCAACGTAATAAGCCGATGCACAGTGTCATCGGAGCCGGGTTTGAGCCGGAAATAACCCCAAAAAGGGGAGAAATCTCCTCGAATAACCCACCAAAAATCACGAAAACCACCCAATCATGAGTGAAAAGGGGGGGAACCGACACCTCACAATTTGGATTAAGCGTCACAATCATCGTTTTAACTGAATAAAATGCGACGTACGGGGCTGAAAACCCCGTAGTCGAATAACTAAAAGCCANATAATATGATCCAAGTATAGGCACTATAATCCTAAGATAGGCACTGTACTGGCACTAGTTCCGGTGAGGTCAAGGACCAACGCCGAACTGCCGAACTCACGAGCGTCTCGAGACACCTCAGAGCGCGGAATTCACCGTTCAATCACCCGAATTTTGATTGGTGCGGACACGCCCCTCGGAGGTGCGAATCTACCGACAATTAATCGCGACTCTCACGACCTGGCGCGATTATTCAAATCTCACCTAACTCTTCTCTAATCACCTAACACAAAACTAGTTCCTTTTTATTAATTATTACGTGAGACTAGGCCAAACTGATTGTCGTTCGGATAATTACGAAGGGTCTTTGGCGCTTCCCAAGGATCGGATCTCCAGGATTTTTGGGTTTAAAAAACAAGTTACCGGTACTTGTTATGACTCCACTACTAATTCCTGCTTAACTCGTTTCTCTCATCGAAAACCCAAAGGCAACCTGGCGATTCGTTGGAGACGATGGTTGCACTCGCTCCGAACGACCTTCCACCCAAAACAAAAACGTATCCAATTAACCCCTGAAAATCCAACGAAATTGGAGCGCCGGCATTTCAGCCGGACCTATTCGATTACCCGCAAGATTAACAATAGGGTGAACCCCATAAAAAGAACCGCATGACTATAATTTTGGCCCTTCTTCCCGATAATTTTTCTGGGCCCTCAAAGACGCGTAATTACTAATCTTTACTGATAAACGGAACCGATAACTCTAGCCAAAAATAAGTCACTCGGAAGTGGATAAGGGACTCGCACTCTCTCGCTCCAGGATTTTTACTCACGGATTTTAATTCAACGCTGTAGGAGTCTCGCTCTTTCCAGATCGTTTTTAGTGTTCCTAACGAACATCCCCACATATTCATTACAGGATACATGGCATGTTGGAGATCAACGACAATCAGAGAAATACCAGGACAATCATCAAGGGCATCAAGTACAATCAGAGCCACACCAGGCTAACCCGATGAACTCCAGCAACGTACTGGAGATACAGGGAACTCAGCAGATAGCAACTCATCTGGTAGTCTTGGCGACGGCAAGGGTCAACGTACTCAATCATCATGGACAATCAACGTCAGCTAGGATCCTCATCGATCAGGGCTCTGAAATATCACTAGTTTCTGAGCGCTTGGTAAATCAACTACACTTGGAAAGAAGGTCATCATCGGCATCGGAGAAACATCATCACGGAGCACACGTGGTGTCGTGAAACGCGCCTTCCAACCGAGACACAATCCCGCTGTGCGAATCATCGTAGAGGCCCACATCCTGAGCACGCTGACGGCGAAAATACCGCCATTTGCTTGCGAATCAACGATTCTTCTTCAACTATGGGAGCTTCAACGGGCAGATCCTCACTTCTTGAGACCTGGAGCAGTTGACATAATCATCGGAGCTGATACTTATGGAAGAATCATCGGGGAGACAATCATCAGGTTTAAAGAAACGAAACTCATCGCTCAGCAAACTACATTTGGGTGGGTTGTATCGGGACCAGTTTTCTGCATAAACTGCTCAGAAAAATCATCTTTAAAGGTAACGACGCAAACGGCTAATCAACAATTACTAGAACTCCTCAAGAAATTTTGGGTCCAGGAGGAATTACCGAATACACCATCATCAGCTTTAAGTAAAGCTGAAGCAGAATGCGAGCAGCACTTAATCGAAACTCATCAGAGAGATTCAACAGGGCGTTATATAATGCGCCTCCCATTCAAATCATCACCAGCCGCACTGGGGGATACAGCATCGACGGCTAGCATCAGGCTAGAGAAAACCATCAGGCGATCATTAGTAGATCCAGACGCTCATACTCTCTACAAGAAATTCATCGAGGCGTATGAGGCCTTGGACCACATGCAGCGAGCACCACCGGCACCGGAGCAAAGGCAGACATACTATCTGCCTCATCACGGAGTACTGAGGCCAGACAGCACCACCACAAAATTGAGAGTGGTGTTTGATGCATCTCATCGAAGCTCATCAGGAGTGCCATACTTCATCCAGAACCGGAACTACAAATTGACAGCTCTGACGTATTCATCTGGCTGCATCGACATGGTTTGGTATTTGGAACGGATATTGTGAAAATGTTTCGCCAAATCGATGACTGGGACTATCAACGAATCTTTTGGAAAGACAACGACGGTTAACTCATCGAATACCAACTGACGACAGTCACTTACGGTACCAGCTGCGCACCTTGGCTTTCTCTACGTGTGCTGAAGCAGTTGGCCATCGATGAAGGTCACCGATTTCCTTTGGCCTTACCGACATTCATCAAGAGAAGATATGTCGACGACATATACGAAGGTGCACAAACAGAACATCAACTGGAAGAAATCATCAAGCAACTCATCGATCTCTGCATGGCGGACGGCATGCAGAAGTGGTGCTGTAAAGTACCAAAAGTACTGGAACGACTCGAATTATCATCAGGATCAGCTCCAATCATCGAATTCGAGGAATCAACAGTGAAAGTGTGGGGACTTTGCTCGCAAGCCAATTCTGACACTTTTCACTACAAGGCAAAGAACTTCAACGGGGACACCATCACCTTGCGCGTAATTTTGTCCCAAATTACACAAATCTACGATCCACTGGGACTCATCGCGCTGGTCATCATCACGGCAAAGATACTCATCCAGGAATTATGGCTGCTCAAACTTAACCGGAACGATCCACTTCCAGAGGACTACAAGGGTCGCTGGAAATCATTCAGAGAGCAGCTTCAACATTTGAGCAGTCTCACAATACTACGGTGGCTTCATCTCACGCCCAATACAACGGAAATTCACCTTCACGGATTTGCGGACGCATCAAACTTGGCGATGGGCGCATCGGTTTATCTTCGAACATCATCAAAGACAACGGGAACGACTGTCACTCTAGTTTGTGCCAAGACTAAAGTGGCGACACTCAAAAAACAAACCGTACCACGACTGGAATTGATGGCAGCGGTTATGGTCACTGATCTCGTGTCTTACGTCAAACGTATACTGGACCTGGACAACCTCGAGATCCACTTATGGAGCAACTCATTGGTAGCCATCACATGGATCAACGGGGAAGCATCTCGATGAAAGATTTCATGCAGAACAGAGTTCTTAAAATACGGGATACTCTGCCTTCTGCAACATGGAGACATATCAGTGGAAAGAAGAATCCAGCGGACTGCGCATCAAGGGGTCTCTCACCAAAACAACTGGCGGAGCACCATCTATGGTGGACAGGACCACGATGGTTTGTCCTGTCATCAGACAATTGGCTAGCATCATCTATGGACTTAGCATCAACAACGGAAGTATGATCAGAGGCGGCTAAAGAAGCAAAACCGCCTATTATTAGCTCACATCCAGTGCAAATCGCTGAGAGAGATGCACTGATCATCAGATACTCATCACTAACAAAGCTTTTGCGGATTACAGCCTGGGTAAATCGAGCCACTAAGCGCTTCCAAGGGCAGCAACTACCGGATTCTCCACAACTGGAACCACAAGAACTCGAAAATGCGAGGCTGTATTGGGTGAGGCACACTCAACAGCTATACTTCGAGGCGGAAATCAATCAACTGAAAACGAGAAACTCACTGGCAGCAAATCATCGTATGGCAATGCTGACGCCATATTCGGACAACGACGTCATGCGCATGGGCGGACGTCTACGAAAATCAACGTTAGATCCGGAGGAGAAAAATCCAATAATTCTCTCTCGTCATTCACCACTCTCATCGCTCATCATCGCAGACGCTCATCAACGGAGTTTCCATGGGGGAACTCAACTCACATTGGCACATATTCGGCAGAGATATTGGATCATCGGTGGGCGAGCTCCAGTAC